CAGTGATGTGTTATATTTAATGCAGCAATTCTGGGATTTTAATAATTGATTTGGGGAGGAACTTCCAAAAGTAACAGTACTTCATCCTAGGGACGTCTTAAAATGGCCTTTGATACAATTAGCCCCATTTTATGGATTTAACTCTGTGCTCTGCAGTTTCCTAGTCAGGCTAGTCAACCTCCCCAGTTTCTCCTGGCCAAGTCCTCCTGCCTTCCTATTTCCAACCCCCCCTTTACCCACTATCACCAACAAGCTCACCCTGGGCCTGAGCACACACAGGCTGGTGAGTGGGTGTGTGGGTGTCCGTGTGCGTGCGCAGTCAAGCAAGGTACACATTGCCCCGGCACTTGTCCCCTCTTGGCTTGCTCACCACTTAGGTTGTTCCATTGTCTTATAAGGATCCCTGGATGGCTTCTGGAATGGGGGCAGCAGCAACCCCCCATATCGCCACCAGGTGGTGCCACAAGCTCAAGCTTGAGGTTCTGTGGGCGGCCTTCAAGGAGCCAGAGCTAGGAGGCCCCCCGGGGCCACTCCCTAGGCTTCTTCTCCGGGGTGATTCTGGCCCCTCCGGGGTGAGCCACATGACCTGTTTTCACCACTGTGGTTTGACTCCTGCTCCCTCTCTGTCCCAGTCTCCCAGCTGTGTTTGTCTCTTGGGGTTCCTGTCTCCCTCTCTCTGCCCCTCCCCCACCTTGTGTTTTCTCTCTCTCTCTCTCTCCTTTTCTCAAATAAATAATATTTAAAAAACAAAAACAAACAAACAAACAAACAAACAAACAAAAACAGCTGCTGGTGACTATTACATGGCAGACACTTTGCCAGGCTCTAGGAGAATCAGTGAAAGGTCAGTGAAGGCAAGTCAGAGTCCCAGTGTAGGAGCAGAAGCTCCCAGCAGAGAAGGGCTGTGGTAGGTGAGCCCTTTTATCCACTGCCTCCTCCTCCTCTCCTCCCTTCCCCCCTTCCCTCCCTTCCCCTCTCTTCGTTCCAAAAGCCACTCACCAGAAAGAGCCAGAAGTGTTCTCCTCTCAGTTCCTATCCCTTCCATACACAAATCTCCCAAAGGCCACCTCCTCATTACTCTCTTTTCAAGGTTTTGGGGGCTCCACCAGAGGCTAAGCCAGGGCCTTGAGTGAGTGACCCAATGACTGAGATCTTCCCACCAACCACTTGCTACCCATGTGTTGGGGCCCTGGGTGCGTTGGACTATAGTATGGTTTTTCACCTTCGCCCAGGTATTTACTCCATCCTTATTTTCTCTATCTTTCTCTGGGGTAAGGGATCACTCCGTTTGTCCACAATTAAACCCTCCATCAGGCTCAGGTCCCATTATCTCCTCTCCTCCCCCCCCCGCCCTCCACCCCTACCTCTTTCTCTCTTCCTACTGGATCTTAACTCTCATGTCCCTCAAGTGCCCACTTTCATGCCAGCCAAAGCAATTAGACAAGAGAAAGCATCTTAAAACCTTGATAGGAGGAGATGAAGTTTCACATTTGCAGACAACTGTGTACTGAAGGTGAAATTCTCTGAAGAGAAATACAGTAAGTTAGTGAAGGGCGAAATTCCCACAGAGCTATAAATTGCATCATCATCGATATTATAATGGAAGGAAAGATCTTATTTATAGTAGTGTCAGAAAAGATAAGGTACTTCGGAATAAATAAGAAATGTTTAAAAACAATATGAAAAACATTATAAAACTTTAAAAAAAATATTTTATTTATTTGACAGATAGAGATCACAAGTAGGCAGAGAGGCAGGAAGCAGGCTCCCTGCTGAGCAGAGAGCCCGATGTGGGGCTTGATGTGGGGCTTGATCCCGGGTCCCTGGGATCATGACCCCAGTGAAGGCAGAGGCTTTAACCCACTGAGCCACCCAGGCGCCCCTATTATAAAACTTCTGAAGAACACAAAAGACTTAAAAACAGGCCACGGTCATGGATCTGTAGACTGAATATCACGATTGTGATTTTTCATGCATTTCTTCACACAATAATGGGATGCCAATAAAGATAATGACAAAAGACACATGCCCAGTCAGCATATAAAGAGGCCTGACACCATCAATCACACCCATTACAACGGCTGACATGAAAAAGACTGACTGGGGCTCAGTGGGTTAAGCCTCTGCCTTGGGCTTAGGTCATGATCTCAGGGTCCTGGGATCAAGCCTTGCATGGGGTTCTCTGCTCAGAGGGAGGCCTGCTTCTCCCTCTCCCACTCCCCCTGCTTGTGTTCCCTCTCTTGCTGTCTCTGTCTCTGTCAAATAAGTAAATAAAATCTTTAAAAAAAAAATAATACTAATCCACAGCAATGGAAGAGCCGATCGTTGGTGCCCTAGGGCTCGGGGAGGGGGCAGGGACTGGGGAAAGAACTGGAGTGAGTTGATAGAAATGTTCTGCATCTTGATTGTGTTGGCTGATGGTTACATGGTGTTCACATTTGTCAAAACATATCAAGCACTACATTTAGAACAGGTGCATCTCATTGTAGCATACTTTACAAAAAAAAAAGTAAATGCTGGAGGAAGACAGCAAAAACCCTGTGCTTTTGAAAATCCAAGTTAAAGAGTGACGAACAACTGGACCATTATAATAAAAACCCTCCACTGAGATGCAGTTTTTCACTTATGAGATTATCAAAAAATCCAAAAGTTTAATAACACCCTGTGCTGGCATGGCTGTGAGGAAACGCACACTGAATCACTAATCACGGGAGTGTAAATTGGAATAAGCCCTTAAAGAGGGCATTTGGACAATACTTGTTTAATTACAGATGCTTGAACCTATTTCCCTTCTGGAATTTTATCCTACATTAAAGGTCATTACTGCAGTGTTGTTTAAAATAGCAAAATCCCCAAAATAACCTAAATGTCCATCAATGCAGACAGGTTAAATTATGATGCATCCAAACAATGGAACCCTATGTAACTACAAAACTCAGTGGGGAAAGTCTGTGTGTGCTATTATGGAAAGATCCTCAAGGTTGTAATGTTAAGTGAATAAAGCAACATTATATTTGCAATGTATTTGCATTTTTAAAAAATCCAGAGAATATATATTTGGATTTTCTTGTATATATATGCATGGAAAAAAAAAAAAAAACTTCTGGAAGAATAACCAACAACCTAACATCAGCAGATACCTGTTTGGAAGAAGGTGTGGGAAATATGTGGATGAAGTCAGGAGTATGAGGGACGATTTTCACGGTATGCCTTTTTAATCTAAAAAAATTAGAATGACGTGACTGTACCAGCTATTCAAAATTTACTTATTTTTTTAAATACTATCAAAATAATACATTACACATGTCAATGTGAGCATTTTACTTATCGTTATCCACAAGGTTACCTTGTGGTAACCACACTAAGCAAGTCTATTTCAGTGCAGGTACAAGGTAGAGCGTTACTGTTTCTATCCCCTGCTCCCCAAATCCACGCACAGCCCCTCCCCCCCCACTCCCACCATACTTCAGGTTCCAGTTCCTGAAATCAGAGGAGCTCAGCTGCCTCTTCCGGGTGTGTCCTCGCAGGGGCTGTCCCCTCTGTGGCATGCTTTGTCCCATCTCTTTGCTTCTCTCCTCACCCTGCCCTGTGGCTGCAAGGGCATCACCTCCTCTGAGAAGCCTCCTCTGACACCCTCTCCCTCCCTCCTCACACACTACCCCCCCACCAAGTGTCCCTTGCCTTCCCCAGCAGACTGCAAGGCCTGCTCTGTCCTCAAAGCCCAGGGGCCCTTGAACCTGTGGGCTCCCTTTCCTGAAGCACCGGCCCCACCAAGGAATGAGAGCCCCTCAACACAGGGAAGGAGCGGCAGGCCTTACACCCCTCCTATGTAGACATCCGGGAGATTCAGTTTCCTGTAAATGTTAAGTTGACCCTCCCACACCCACAAAGACAATCTGAGTTTCAGTTTCTCCTAAGCGTTCATGAGGAAGACGTGGGGCTTTCCCATAAACTCCCGGTACACTGGGTGCAGCTGCCGTGGGGGGGGAGGGACTGATGAGCAGCTCATGCATGAAGCTCACAGTCCAGCAGGGAGGGCAGGTACCGATGCAAGGAATGGTGATACACATAGCGGGGAATGGACGTGACAGCCCCAACACGGAGGGGGGCCCCATGGAGGGCGGAGGACCATGCCCCACTAGGCCTGGAGGGTGGGGGGAGGGTGGCTGGTGGGGGCGGGAAGGACTGCAGGGAAGGCAGTCTACAGCTGAGGGCAGAGCAGGGGCAGCTGGCTGGCCTCTGAACCTCCATGGGGAGAGTCTGGGAGCTGAAACCTGAACCCCAAGGCCACCTAGTCCACGCTAAGAGGATTTCCCAAAGGAGGGAAAATGCAGGCACTCGCAGAAACAAAGGGGAAAACTAAACTGTGCCAGGGGAGCTAGAGAGGCCCCGAGGGGAACAAACCCGGGACTGTTTCACAAAGGGGAGGTCCCGATTTCTCAGAGTTTCTTTTTTCACAAGCCTTTCCGGGAAGTGAGATTCATTTCTTAGGGCTGACGACGTAAAAGGCCCCTTCCCTGGGGTCCCTGGGGTTTGGGCTGGAGCACAGCAGCAGAAAGCTGGGCCAGGCTCGCAGGGCTAAAGACCTGGCCTGACCTCTAGGCCCACTTCCTTCTGTTTCCTTCCCTTCTGCTGGTGGAGAAACAGGGACCCCGGGGGGTGGGGGTGGAGAGGCCAGGGAGCTGACAGCAGCTCTGACTCCTCTCCTGAATGTGATCAGACTCACCCCCCCACCCTGCCCCTCGGGAGGGTGTTTGCAGGACCAGCCCTGACACACCCATATCCCCTCTTTCCTAGCCAACATCTACCCCAAAGAGGAACAGAAGAGCCCATACCTGCCCCAGGGTCTCTGAAACCCTTGGCAGGAGGGGAACTGTGGGTGATTCACGCGCATATATTAAGGGTGTGTCAGCCTCCCAGCCCTGGTCCTTGCCCGGGTGGCAGTAGGGGCATGGCCTCAGGGACTCCCCAACCCACCCCGTGCCCCCACCTCTCTTCAATACATTGTAAACAGCACATTTATTGGTGGTTTGCCAACCTCTGGTAAAAAGCACAGAACAGCAGGGCTCTCCTACATGCTGCCCTGGGCTCCAGCCCGTCAGGCATGCAAGACGGAGCTGGGGGACGAGTCAAGACATCTTCAGGAGCAGGGCCAGACGTGGAGAAGGCCCCACGCTTTTCCATCCCCACTGCCCACTGGCCTGGGCCTAGAGAACAACCGGGAAGGCAGGCCCAGCTCAATCCCCAAATCCCTGCCCTGAAGTGACTCTTCTTGGTGGCTGCCCTCCTTCTCCACCGCTCAACCTCACTGATCCCCACCCTGGAGCTGGGAACTGAGCCACATGCTTGGCTCCCTCACACCAGCCCGAATCCATGCAGCCAGGCTATGTCTGCGGGCCCCGCCCCTCCAGTCAGGTTGCCAGCAGAGCGGGCCAGCTTGGCTCTTGTTATCACACTGTGTACCCGGCTCGGGGCTGGGCATTCAGCCGGGGACCAGGATGGGCAAAGGCTTGTCCAGAGAAGCACTCTAGGTAAGGAGGACAAGGTGGCCTGACACAGTCTCTCCCAGCTCTGGTGTCGGCCCAGCCTCCATCCCTTGGCTCCTGGCTGAGGAGGGCCTCAACAATCCAAGGTGTGGCACCAGTGCCGCCTTCTCCTCTAAGATGCCTCCCTGGCTTGACGCCAGACTCTGAGCTGGGCTACGGACAGTCAGCCAAAGCCGCTACTTCAGGGCCCTGAGGACAGCCTCCAGCTTCATGGCCATGGCCAGGTCACCCTTCACCTTTAGCCGCCCACTCATGTAGGCCCCCAGGGGCCGCAGCTCCCTGCACAGAAGGGCCCGCAGGTCCGCCTCGGTCATCTCCACCACCACATCAGGGATGCCGTCAGGCACTCCATGTCCTACCCTCCCGTGCCCTGTGGAGGGAAAGAAAAATTGAGCACTGGTGGGGGGATGGCTGTGCAGCAGGGGGAAGGTCTGGTTAGCATGGCCCACTGGGAGGAGTAGAAAGTAATAGTCAGGTGTTCAGGTTCTAATTCCCTGAGTTCAAGTCTTATTGGCTGTAGAAGCACTCAGGGCCTCAGTTTCCAAATTGGTGAAACGGGGGGGACGATCATCCCCGAATAGAGGCTCGAGGTGAGTTGTAGGGAGCTCACGCATTGCACGTGCTCAGCACGCAGTCGGCCTGTACTGTGTATGGGGCGCGGGCTGCAACCGTCAAAGTCGTCCTTCTCACAGAGACAGGCAGGGAGACAAACGCCCAGATTGTGCTGTCTGAGCCCCCGACTGCTATGGGGTCCCTCTAAACTGTGCCAGGAACAGAAGGTCTTTAAGTTTAAATTTAAAAAAGGACCATGGGGAGGGGGCAGCTACAAGCAACCTGGCTGGGAAGGCAAGCGAGGGCAGGTAAGGCAGTGGCACCTGTAGTGAGGTCGAGGAAGTAGATGTTCTGGGCACCACTGGGCAGGACGACATTGAACTGGTAGCAGGCACCAACTTGGCTGACCAGGGCCTCCGACAGGAAGGGCTGCAGAGCAGTCAGCAGTCCCTCCGCCACGGGCTGCTTTGGGCCTGGCCCAGCACCAACAGGAGGGGCAGGCTGCTCGACTTCACTCACCATCTCCAAGCTGTCTGCTGGGGGTGGCCAACAGGGTTGGGGAAGGAAGCAGAGAGAAAAAGTCAGTGTGCTCCCAAGGTCCTCTGCACTTCTCATGGCAGCTCCCTCTCATAGGCCCTTCAAGCCCCAGTTTGACTTCCTCCTCGGCTAAGAAGCAGCCCCTCAGCTTTCACTCCTGGGTGCTGTCCCCTCCTCCCACAGAGGCTCCCGAAGGCCTCCACCCACTCAGCTCTCTTCACTGCCTTAGCTCCCATCGGCTCAAGCAGTAGGGACAGCCTGAGCAGCTGGGCAGGTGAGCAATGCACAAACGTGCTCAGCTAAGGGAACGGGCCCTGAGCCTGTGCAGGACACTGAGCTGAGCGCCCCAGAAGCACCTCCCCTTCTTTCTGGAGCTCCTCACCTGGCCCTGGGGCTGACAAGCCTCCTGCCACAGAGGACAGGCCTCCTCCCAGGAAGTGGAGGGCCAGCTGCTGGAGAGTGCTATCCAAATTGGGCCCCACTGGGCTGTCCTGGGGTGGCTGGAGCACGGCCTCCACTGCCAGTTCTACCCGATCCACCTCCAGCCCCCAGGCCCTGGTCACATCGTTGATTTCCAGCTGGAAAAGAGTGTAGGTGGAGAAATGGAATTAAGCCGACAAGCCATTCTGGGAGCACCTTCTTTAGGCTGGAGGCACCATGCCTCCTGTTCCGGGCCAGGCTCCCTCCTGAGGAACACAGGCAGAGGGCAAGTACATACAACCCAGGAGCTGGCAACTGGTGTGAGTAACTAGGACCAGGCCTGACCCCCTGGAGGCCCAGGGAATGGGCAGTGATGCTGGGTGGAGCGGGGTCACCCCAGCCAAGGAGTACAGCAAGAAGGAAGACTGTGATGTGACCTAAAAGAAATACGTGTTTCCCTTTGATCATTCAACTGATTAAAATATACTTCTACGTATTTGTCTTTGTTCCTGACTCAGCTCCTATGATCCTTGGAATTGCCTATGAGAAGAGTGATAAAGGGGTCTTCTACGAAGGTAAGAAGGGTGACTTTTGGACCCACTCAAGGGCGGGGGCTGGCTTCCAGGAGGACCAACTATGTGATTGGAGAGTTGGAACCTTCAGTCCCACCCTGAGCGATGACCAATGACTTGGTCCTCAGTACGCAAAGAAGCCTCCAGAGAATTCCCAGAAGGACTGGGTTCCAGAGCTTCCAGGATGGTGAACGCCAGAGAGTGGGATGCCTGGGGAGGGCAGGAATGTTCCATACCCCTTCCCCAGACCTCGCCCTGTGTCTCTCTTCGTTTGGTTGTTGATCCATAGCTTTTATCACATTCTTTAATAAACTGGTAAACGTGCTTCCCGGAGTTCTGAGAGCTGCTCTAGCAAAAGGACCCAGGGAGGCGGCTGGAACCCCCAACTGGAGCCAGTCAGTGAGAAGCACAGGTAAGAGCCTGGGGCTTGTGACTGGCATCTTTAGTAAGGGATGGGGGGCAGTCTTGTGGGACTGAGCCTTTAACCCACGGGATTTGAAGCTATCTCTTGGTAGACAGTGTTCAAAGTGAGTTGAATTCTAGGGATACCCTACCGGTGTCTGAAAATTGCTTGGTGCTATGTGTGTGGAAACCCCCTTCCCCACACTGGAGTTGGGTCCGGGAACCCCACAAGAAGGACTCTTTCAGGCAATGGGAACAACATGTATAAAAGCCTGGACAGAAGAACCTGGAACGTCTGGGGAAGTGTGAGTAACCACCGTTCCATTTAGCTAGACCCTCAAGTGTGGCTTGGGAGACTGGAACAAGCGGAGGGCTCTGAGGTGGGAGGCCCTGCTTGCTTGGCTTTATTCTGATACACAAGGAGCCTCGAGAGGAGTTCGGCAGGGGGTGACCGCAGACCTGCTCGTTGGAAGCTCCTCTTGGCTGCTCTGTGGACACCGGATTGAAGGGGGCTGAGGGTGGGGACGTGGAGACCACGTGGGCCACTGTTTCAAAGTGCAGGCAGAAATGAGGCGGCTCTGGTGTTAGACGGAGAGGTGGCCATGAAGCTGAGACACGCAGAGGACAGAGCACAACTCTGTCAACTAGATGCAGCTACAGCAAGACACCGGGGAAACAAGCAGGAGGCGTGGTGGCCACCTGCCTGTGAGTGCCGGAGGGCGGAGAGGGGCCGGCTCTCTGGTGTGGGCTCCTGTGCGAGCGTGGTGCTCACCTAGAGCGAGCACACAGGCAGACACATGCTCAGCGATGGCTAGGGGAGGGAAGAGGACTTTTTTTTTTTTTTTTTTTAACATATTCAGCTTGAAATGTCTATGCAACAGCAACTGTCCACCAGGCGGTTGGATAAACGGGGTCCAGGGCACAGGAGGGGAGCTGGAGCAGAGGGTTGTACATAATCAGTGTCCAGAAGCAGCACGACGCCCGGCTGGATGAGCCCTCCCAGGAGGTCCTAGGCAAGAAGAAGAGGCCATTGGCAGAACCTTGGAAACTGAAGGGCAGGAGAGCAAGTAGTAAGCAGGAGTGAGCTGGAAGGAGGAAAAGCAGAAGTGGAATAATGGAAGCCAAGAGAGCAGAGGATCCGAGAGAGAGAGAGAGAGAAAGGAGGGTGCACAGAGTCAGAGGCTCCCCCCACGTGAAGCAAGCATGGGACCGAGAAGTGCTGGGAGCTAGCAGGAAGGAGGTCACGCTGCTGTCTTAGGAGTCTAGAGGAAGCCTAGACTGAGGATGGGGCGAGCAGGGGGAAGAGGGGAGGGAGGTAGGGGAGAGCTGTCAGGTGCTGGGGTGCCGACAGAGTCTGTACCCACACCCACGCAGAAAGGAGCGGAGGGAGGACTAACAGAAGCAGAAGCTGAGCCCTGAGCCCAGAGCTCTGCCCACGCAGGGAGGAGCCTCGGAGGAAGAAGCACCTCTTGGCTTGCGGTGAGCAGAGGGACAGCACAGACCCGGAGGTTGAAGGGCTGATGCCGGAGGAGCGAAAGGGTTCCTGTCCTGGGGGTCTGCCCCCTAAGGAGGAAGAGGCCAGGTTGCAGCAGGGGAATGTAGTGTGTGGCGGCAGTGAATGGAAGCAAGCAACCGGCCTGGGGGAGGAGTGAGCAGCTCACCAGGGACCAGCAAGGGAGACTGGAGAGTGTGAGTCCCTCCAGGGAGGAGGCAGAAAGGGGACTGAGAAGGAGAAATGTATGCCTGACCCAGCGCTTCTGGGAGGCAAGCTAGTGCTCCTGAGACTTCGTTGTAACCACAGGCACTGACCCCACTCTACCAGGCGCCAGCCCAGTCTGGGAACCAGGCCCTAAATGACTAACATCCTGGTGCGGGACTGACTTCCCCCAAACTGCCTCTCTCGGCTTTGTTGCACAATACGCCTGGTGTTCTGGTTTCGTTCCCCACCCGCCCCTGACAGCAATAAGGCCGAGATCAGCTTTCTCCTCTGAAAAATACGCTAAAATGGAATGTGGTTTCATAAATAAAAGCTGTTATCAATTTGTTATCAACTGTAGAAGACGGAGCACTGGATTGAGGGTGGGGGGTGGGATAGCCAGTGATCTGGCTCTGGGCCGGCTCTGCCCTTGACTATGGTTCTTGGGGGGCAACCAATAACTCTGAGCCCTTAGTTTCCTCCCACCAAAATAAAACCACAACATCAGCCCTCTGGTAGCAGAATGTGGAGCAGATACACGTGGGCAGCGAAAGGACTCATAGACCCTAAGACACTCTGCACGTGACAGCCGCCGTCCCCAGCACAGCAGCATCTCCTTGGGAGCTTCCCTCATGGGGCTGGTTCACTTCCAGAAGGGACTGGGATCTCCAGGACTGGCATTACTGCCCCCCCACTCCGGTCCTCAAACCCCAGATCCCCAGGGGAAAACACAGCCAAGGGGACTAAGGGGAAACCTCACTCAGGGTCCACCAGGATACAGGAGAAAGCCCAAGGTGAGCCTGGGGAGCAGGGGATATGCCACCATGTGTGACACATGCCACATTTCCACCCCATCCTGTCACAGAAGGGATGAGAGGGAAATTCTGGTGTAGATAATGACTCACACGTGGAGAGACAAGAAAAAGGTCCAAACGCCCGTGCGTCTCTTTGCTCTGTTCTGAGCAAGGAACACAAAGCCCCCAAGCGCACATGCTGCCCTGTGGAGCCTGGAATTCCCCAGGTGACTGTGCTGGGAGGGCCCCACTCCTTTCACCCCCACTGCCCACCTCCGAGGCCCAGTGTTGTCATGGCAACGCCTGCAGAGTGGTGAAGGGTAGAACCCCAGCAGTTAGGGAAGGCCCCAGAATCTGGATTAGGCCATGCCCCTCTCAGGGCCCCGGTGCCTCTCCAAGACAAGCTTGCCCAAGACCACTATGCTCTGCACCCGTCTTCTGTTCCTCGGTCCCACCCAGACCGCTGGCTCTTCCAAGGTTGGAATATATGGTAAACTGAGGCCCAGAGCAATTTGGTGCTTTGCTCAAAGTGCCCTGGCAGGTAAAGCCAGGCCCAGGAGCTCACCACTGACCTCTACCGTGTGAACAGCCGCCTACCAGGAGCTGGGCGCTGATCTGGAGCTTCTCCGTCTGGATCTCCCGCAGGGGCCTCTTGAGCAGGGCCTTGGTCATAGCGTTCTGGGCCGTCATGCGCGTGGCCATGTTCAGGTCCTTCACAGTCATCACAGACAGTACCGGATCCCAGATGCGGAACTGGACATCAGCCCCCACAGACAGCACAGCCCCATCCTTAGAGGCCAGCTGTTGGGGGAGGTCGTGAAAGAGGAGATACTCAAGGGGCTGGTGCTGCAGGGAGCTCTGGCCCACCAAGACCACCCAGCTTGACCTGCCCTCCTGGTACCTAGCTCCTCAAAGGGAAAATCACGTCCCCAAGTGCACGTCAGTAGGTACATTGAGCAAGGATGTCCTCCCAACCTCCATCCTCAGCTTTTCTGGTTTCTTTCGCCACCCTGACCCTGACGGCTACTCATACACCATGGAACTGGCTCCCACAGTCATGCTGCACAAGCCCCCACTCCCACTGTCTGAGGGAGCCGTGAAGATCCTCACCTTGCAGGGAGGGACATTGAAAGCACGTGTCCTCAAATCCACCCGCTGGAAGGAGTCAATGAAGGGCAAGAGCAGAACCATGCCGGGCCCCTGAGGGGTGCGGATCCGGCCCAGTCGAAACACGATCACCCGCTCATAGGTGGGCACAATCTGTTCACGAGGGTGAGAGAGAGGGGTGAAAGTCCTGGGCCTAGGCTCACAACGGCGTCTGCCCAGGTGCCCCCCTCCCCTCTTCTCTCCTTTGCCTTGGTCGATGTCAGATATCCTTAGATCTTTTTGGAAGAGAAAACCAAGACTCTGAGCGGTTAAATGATTTGCTCAAAAATCACAGGGCCCCCGAGTGAAACAGGCAAGATTTGAAGTTCTGAATGACTCCAACCCCAAACAAAGGGCTTTGTCAACTTTAGAAGTAAATAGGTCCAAATTGAGAAATGAAGGTCCAGAGAGGCAAAGTGACTTGCCCAGGGTCATACGGTGTTTGTTTCAGTGGCAGATTTAGGACTAGGATTTAGCACCTTCTAAAGACTTCCTTCCAGACCACACCAAACCCGAAGGCTTTCTAGAAAAGTTGACTGTTTCCTAGGGCCACAGAAAGGGCACAGCCTGCCTGGGCTTCCACCTTCACTGCAGCTCTCAGATATGATCTTTAAGTACAGCTCCAGCTTTCCCCTCTGCACAAGCCCTTGTTAAAAACCAGGCCTGAGGGACGCCTGGGTGGCTCAGTTGGTTGGACGACTGCCTTCGGCTCAGGTCATGATCCTGGAGTCCCGGGATCGAGTCCCGCATCGGGCTCCCGGCTCCGCGGTGAGTCTGCTTCTCTCTCTGACCTTCTCCTCACTCATGCTCTCTCTCACTGTCTCTCTCTCAAATAAATAAATAAAAATCTTTAAAAAAAAAAAAAAAAAAACAGGCCTGAATTCCTATTACTCATTACCTACTGGGCCAAGTGGAGTAGTTTTCAGTTCAAATTTCAGCCTAACCCACAGAAAGGAAGATGTGGCAAAGACTGTGTGCACCTTAAAGCCAGCGTCCAGACCCCAGAACTTGGGCATTTGGGAAGGCTTGTTTGCCACTCACTGGCTCCCAGTATGACTTTGGGCAAGCCTGAGCCTATTTCCTCATCTGAAAGATACAAATGAAGAATCCCGGACCAGCCCATTTCACTGGGATGTGATAATGTAATATTCAGGGGAAGGGGACAGAGGATGGAGAGTGGGGCCCAATCCCCCGGAGTCTGACCCAGCCAGCCTTACCTTCAAGGCGAACCAGCCGGAAATGGGGAAAGTGATCATCAGCAGCAAGAACCCCAGGAAACTGATGAGGCCATGACAGAGGTAGGAGGGCCAGCTCTGGGGCGCGTCTGGGGACAAGAGAGCAGAGGCAGTCAGGGAACACCAACCAGTGCTGGCAGGACAGCAGCAGGCTGAGTGAAGTTGGTCAAGTGCACCTTTTGCCCACCTCCCCCTTCAGCAGTTAGTCCCTTCTCGGAGCTCTCAGTTGCCTCCTTGCCTCATTTCTGTCTCTAGCCAGATGCTAGTGAAGAACGTTCCCTCCTCCCACACATCAAAACTAATCTGCCTCGAGTTCCACCTCCACAAGGCCTTGTCTCTGCTAGGCAACAGCCTTTTGATTTGAGAAGCCAATCCATGTGATGCTCTCCTCACCAGGGATCTGGATCAATTCTCTTGTCTGATAGATAGTGCCTCCCATACCTGGCACAGAGCCAGGAGCACCCAGGCATCTGTAAACACTGTGCTGGACTGAACTGAACGCTGGTGGTAGAACTCATTCCTCTTCCACCATCAGCCACCTCTTCCACCACCATCCATTCATCCTCTTGAAGATAAGGCCTTAGGCTATCCTAATGCTTAGGATAAAGCATTAATGGCTCAACGGGAACCACAGGTGAGAGTGAAGATGTTCTTCTCTAGCTCACAACTCACGCCCCCTTTTAATGCCCTAAGGACTATCAAATACTTGAAGTGGCTTCGGGTAGGAGGTGGGAACTAGGGAGATGAGGCTTATCTGAGATCAGAGGGCCTGGCCCCTTGTAGAACCAGGAGCCCATGATGAAAATGGAGCTGAGAGCCCCAGAATCTAGCACGGTTATCCTCTGGTATCTTTCTCCTCCCAAGGCCTGGGCAGGAAGCAGACAAGAGCTTTTGCTCAGTCCTTCCAGGAACGCTATGCCCTCTGGGCTCTCCAAACCCCAGGATGCTTTCCTGTCTAGCTCTGACCCCTGTGGCCCCTGCAGGAAAGGAAGCCTTGGAGAGGGTCAGCTGTCATTACAGGAAGGTCAGGAGAGACCAAATCCTCCAGGGTTTGCCTGTCAGACTGAGTCATGTGGAATCTGGCCCTGGGGCCAAGGGAATCCCTCAAGGCTCTGGAGCAAGAGCTGACCTGTTGTGTCAGCCAAGGGCCTGCCCATATCCACCAGGAAATAGGCAGATGCTTAAACTCCAGGCATCTAGAAGTACCCCCTGGAATCAAGATTTTGCCATTTCTCTGCCGCCAAGCACCCTTAGAGCTCTGGTGACCTCCCATGCCTAGACTCCGGGGTCTTTCTGGTCAAAATGGGAATTTGAGGGGTCTCCTGCATGGCCCAGTCGGTGAATATGCCGACTGTAGGTTTCTGCTCAGGTCATGATCTGTTCCTGAGATCTGGTCCCCTCTGCTTGAGATTCTCTCCCTCTCCCTGTCCCTTCGCCCGCCCGCCCGCCCGCCCTCTCTCTCTCAAATAAATAAATACATCTTCAAAATGAGAATTTGAAATCCCTTCCCAGGCTTAAAGGGCTGATAAGAGCCGAGAGGATAAATGAAGGGATGAGGCCTGTTAGAAGATGAGAGAGCTCCGGGCCAGCAGCCCAGTAGCCCTAGGGAGGGCGGGTGAGCGCTAGCATCCCAATGCCTGGTCCAGCCCCTTCTCCACGCCGTAGCCACTCTCGGTGCCTCCTCTTAGGGCGCGAGGGCGCCAGACCGGCTGACTCCTGAGGGTACCAGCCGGTCCCCGCCCCGGGTCCGCTGTGCTGGGCGGCCACTCACCGGCCCCCGGCCCCACGCCGCCCCGCTCCGGGGACAAGCAGCCCTTCTGCGAGCCCAGGAAGCCGAAGCTCGACTGCTGGAAACGATCAAAGTCCCCCAGGGGCAGCGCCCGGTACCCGGACCTGCCGAGCATGGCTCTTGACAGGGGCACGCCCCGCGCCCCCGCGCGGTGCCAGTCCAGAGAAGCCGGCCGCTATCCCTCCCGCCCCTGCCGGCCGCTGCTTCCGGTCTCACTGGCCACGGGCTCAGGAGGCGGTGGCTAGCCGGGGCGGCTCCCGCTGTCCCACAGCGCCCCCTGCGCCAGGAGGACCGAGCCCGCCGGAGTCGTGCTCCCGCCTGGCCTTGGAAAAGGAGCTGGAAGGCAAGGTGAGCTTTGCGAGTGGGATTTCAGAGCCGAATTTCCTCCAGAATCGAGGAAATGCTACCAGCCTTCTCAGCATTCCCGCTCCAAAGTCACATACTGGGGTGGGAGTGTGTGGGATGTCTTATCTAGAATCAGGGTTTCTCCTGGGCACAGCCCGCAAATTATTCCTCCTTGCGTCCCCACAGCCCAGCAAGCCTGGCACAGAATGGATCTCAACACTTATTTGTTGAATGAGCTCGTAGCCAGCCTCACTGTGGTCGAGGTGGGGCGGGAGGGCCTGAACTTTGGCACAAAAAGAGAAATTTCATGTGCAGACCTCAGGGAGCACAGCAGAGTGAGGAAGGAGGGGACAGCACAGAGCATCCCAGAGCAGGCCCTCCAGAGTATCACAGAAGTCCAGAAACAGCACACCCCTTGGTCCAGAGGTAACCTGACCTAGAGGTAACTTGCCTCTCCATGGCTTGAGAAAATCTAAATGCAAATGGCAAATTTACTCTGAGAAGCAATGATTTTCCACATGGAGTTTTAAATGTTGCTCTCTTTGAAAGTGATTAATAAGAAATCAATAAAGCTTTCCTTGTCTCAGTCACATGCCAGCCCTGCCTCCTCAGACCCAGCAGGGACCCAACAGGGACCCTTCCAGGTCCCTTCTGCAGCTGCTGCTCACCATCTTCGGCTTTCCCTAGTTCAATGGCCCGATTCTAAAGCCCTGAGGCTGGAGGGTAGGGTAAGGCCCCTGAGGCCTCACAGGGTCCTGAGAAGTTGGCTCTCCCTCCCATTCCCTTTCCCCACACAGGCCAGAAGATCAGCTTTACAGGAGCAGGGTTCCATCACCATTCCTAGTCGGCTGCAAGCTGGAACTGAGCACAGAATTGTACCAGAAGTTAGCACAGTGGTTGGGATGGTTTGATTTTTGAAGCCAGAGCCTTTGGCCCAGTGAAGCTGCCTAGAGGTGATTTCTCCCCTCACCAGCTGGGAGCTGGCATGCTTCTCCTTTGGTCAAGAGCTAATCTGCTCTCTCCTCACTGTCTTCATATCTGCTCACCAGCTCTCCCCCTTCCCTTCCTGCTCCTCTGCCTCAGACTCACCAACCTCTCTAGCTGTCACCCAAGGCACCGTCCTATTCCCCTCAGCCCCACTCAATGTCCTCCCAGCGTCTCTGACTCAGATCCCTCCTCTGCATCTCACAACCATTGTCCTAGACCAGGCCACGGTCCTAGGTTGTCAGAATTACCGTCCCAACATGCATGTTGGGTCATGTTTCTGGGTTCTAAACTCACTGTCACCCACAGACCTGGTCCAATTTCTTAGCCCTGTCCCCGCTCATGGGTCCTCTCTTAAATCTGAAAATAACGAAAACTAGTTTTTAAACAGACTCTCCTGTTTCAAACCTCCAGGCCTTTGCACGTGCTGTTCCAAGCTCTCCCCGCCCCACCCCAAGTTCCTTCAAGTCCCAGCTGAGGATCTCCTTTCCAGCTAGTCCCTCTATTGTGTGAAAACCTCTGTTTGGGTAACTGTTGCTCTTCCATTAGACCAGGAGTTCCTCCAAAGTAGAGCCACCTGCGGCTCATCTCCGTTACGGGGCCCAAAGCCTAGTGCGGCCGCCGCCTCCTTTCTGCTCTGCTCTGCCACGGTCCCTTTACCCCCGGGTCAGCTGAGCCTCTCATCTGCTCCCAATCCTCCCTCCGGCTCTGGGCGTGTCCTCCAAACCCACCGCCGGCCTCTCCGCCCCTAGAACCGCCCCTCGCTCTGTCTCACTTCCTCTCGGGAGGCGGGCCCTAACCGGGCACCGCCCCTTTCGGACCCGCTAAGGAGACTACCGCGTCTGGCGCCCGCCTCTCGTTCCGCTTCCCTTCCCGCCCCTCAAGCTCAAAACCGAGAATCGAAACTGTGCTGTGATCCATGCAGCAGGAGCCTGCACCCGCCAGATCTCCGGGTCCCCAGCAAGACCCCGCACTGCCCCACACGCCCACAATGCCTCCCCCGGAGTCCGTCCCCGAAGGCCATCAGCCCAGCCCCAGCCCCGCGGAGGTACTACTGGGTTTGGGGAGATGGGGTTTAGGCTTTGTTGATTCGCTACGGTGCGGGTAGAGGTGGGAAGGGAGAGGGCAACTTGACCAAGTACCTTAAAGAGTGACACAGAGAAAACCAGGTATTGGGTCGTGACCCTCTTGGCTGGGGTAAGGGTACGTGAGAGTAGAAAGGGGCAGCAGGATGAGTTAGGGGAGCCTCTCTCGGCTGGGATTCGCCACGAACAGGGGGCAAGACGCTGAGGGTCCCTGACACTTGGGACTGGACTTGTCTGCCCACTCTGGCGGCCCGCCCCCTAAGCCTCTGCCTCGGGAGAAGGTGCACGGATTAGGGAGAATGGCGGGAGGAGCCCTATTGCGCAGGCCTGGAGCCGGGGGCATGTCCCAGGTGTGGAAAACCCAAACCCAAGTTCCCAGGTCAGAAAGTGGAAAACTGGCCCAGATGAGAGACGTGCCCTGGCTAAGGCCTCAGAGCTCCTGTGGTGGTTTCACCGCTAGGGTATCTCCAGGATCCTTTTCTTGGAGCACGCTGCATGCTCAGTCCACCCCCGCAAGGGGCTTACAAGGTCCTTGCGGAAACTTGCCTCAGCCTTCTCTCCGACAAATTCCCCAGCTGCCTTCCTCCCCGAGAGGAGCTACTTACATCCGTTGCTCTATGTTTTCCCAGGCCCTTTGGGCTCCCCTTCGTGAAAGCACCAGGTTGCAGTGATTTTTATAATTTGCATTATTAGAACTAGGAGTAGTATTACTTATGAACACTCCTCATGGGCCAGGTACTGTATAGTAAGCACTTTTTATTTTTGCTATAAAATATCCATAACGTAAAACTTACCATGTTTTTAAAGATTTTTTTTTTTTTGTAAGGAATCTCCTCTCCCCATGTGGGGCTCAAACTTACAACCCTGAGATCAAGCGTTGCCTGCTCCACCGACGGAGCCAGCCAGGCTCTGGGAGAACTTAACTGTTTTTAAGCGTACATCTCAGTGGCATTACATGTATCTCACAGTGTTGGGTAACCCACCACCATCTGTTTCCAGAAGTTTTTCATCACCCTCAACAGAAACTGTACTCCTTAGGTGGTAGCTCATTATTACTCCCTTGTCCCAAGTCCTTGTAACCTCCAAACTACTTTCTGTTGCTGTGGATTTGCCTAGTCTAGATATTTAATATAAGTGGACTGTGCAATATTTGTCCTTTTGTGTTTGGCTTATTTTGCTTAGCATAATGTCTTCAAGGTTCTCATAGCATGAATGAGAAGGCCCTTCCTTTTCATTTTATTTATTTATCGGAAAAAGATTTTATTTTTAAGTAATCTCTACACACCCAAGGTGGGGCTTGAACTCACAAGCTGGAGATCAGGAGTCACATACTCCACCAACTGAGCCAGCCAGCACCCCCCACCTTCCTTTTTTTAAAGCTGAATGATAGTCCATTGCACGTGTAGACCCCTTGTGTTTATCCAGTCATCCCTTGATGGACACTTGGGTTGTTTCTACCTTTTGGCTCTTGTGCCTAACGGTGCTATGAACGTGGGTGTGCAAGTATCTGTTTGGGTACTTGTTTTCAGCTATTTGGGGAAATGTATCTAGGAATGAAATTGCTGGATTATATGGTAGTCCTCTGTTTAACTCTCTGAGGAGCCACCAAACCACGGGACGTACTTTATATGATGCTATATGAGATACACTTAAAGGATCTCCTTTCTACACGGAGTCCCAGGAAGGCAGGGATTTATCCATCCGTGGAGCTCAGGGCCAGTACTGTGTCTTATGGGAAGTAGATGCTCAGTCCGTTGGGGAGTGAGAGCAGGAAGAACTGACTAAGTAGGGGAGTGTGGTCCTGGGAAGCCTGGGTTTTGTATCATCCAATGACTGCCGGGAATGGAATATGGAGTCCCACTCCCAGCCTCCAGCCTCAGGAGCCGGTCTGGTGGGTGGGGACTCCTGGATTTCAGGCTCACCCCAACCTCTCTGGTCCCCCAGCAAGCCCTGGAAGAGGAATTCCAATTCCTGCGCTGCCAGGCGTGCCAGGTAGAAGCCAAGTGCCCCAAGCTGCTGCCTTGTCTGCACACGCTGTGCTCCGGGTGCCTGGAGGCGCCAGACTTGAAGTGCCCGATCTGCCAGCTGCCCAGGCCCTTAGGCGCTGACTCGCTGGTGCTGGATAACGTCTTCTTCGAGAGTCTACAGCGGCGCCTGTCGGTGTACAGGCAGATCGTGGATGTGCAGGCCGTTTGCAACCGCTGCAAAGAATCCGCGGACTTCTGGTGTTTCGAGTGTGAGAAGCTCCTCTGTGCCAAGTGCTTCGAGGCGCACGAGTGGTTCGTCAAGCACGAGGTCCGGCCTCTGGCGGAGCTCCGCGGCCAGTCGGTGCGGGAGTTCCTCGATGGCATGCGCAGGTCCAACAACATCTTCTGCTCCAACCCCATCCACTGCCCCCCTATGTTGACGAGGTGAGCCCGCTGGCCCAGGGTGGGGTGGCACCTCCTAGAGCAGGGTAGATGGTGCGGGGAGCAGAGATCCAAAGGGTCATACGGCTGGAAATGTGAGATAAGGAGCTCCCAGGGTTTTGCAACTCAAGAGTGTGGTCTGCAGACCGACAGCATCTGGAGCCATGCCCACAGTTTATGTTATCCCATGCAAATGGCTAGTAATCATTAACTGTTTCCCCTGTAATAAATAACGCCGCAGAATCATCTTTACTTACACTTACCCAGTCATTTCTACAGGGTAAATTTTGGAAATGCTATTGCAGTGCAGGGGTATGAAAATTTTACACTTTGATACATGTTACTAAACTGCCCTTTAGAAAGTCTTACAGTG